TTTATGGGTGACTAATAGCACCTTGAAGCGCATCCGGAGATCGACAGGTAGCCCGCGCAGCTCGCGGAGGATAGGGGGAATGCGGGTGCATCGAGGTGCACCCCCAATCACTCGCGCGGGTGAGTTCTGCACTAGCTGAAGTCGCCGGATGCTCCTCAAGGGCAGCCCCATGTAGAGCACATTGCAGTATTCCAGCCTAGAGGTCACAAGGGCCCGAGTGACTGTTGTGAGAGCCTCCCGATTCAGGTAGGGCCGCAACTGGCGCACCAAGCGTACCTGGGCGAATGCCCCCCTGGTCACAGCCGTTAAGTGGTGGTCGAATGACAGCTGTGGATCCAGGATCCATGGGGCTGGAGGGCGAGGGCATTAGAACTTTGAAACCAACTTGTAGGTGGCTCTGGGGAGGTCCATCATAACTGTCATGGCCCTGTCGCAGCCTGAGTCTGTGGAGAACGAGCCAGAGCTGAGGCCAATGGAGGTCGAGGGGACGGCCTTGTTGGCTTCAGAGGAATGCGGGGAGGAGCAGGATGAGGCAGCCTCAGGGACATCGGTCTTGGGACGGCTTGCCAGAAGAGAAGAACGGGGGCAGGATGACCAAGACAGGAGGGAAGAAAGGTCTGGCAGTGGAGATGAAGAGCAATGGAGCTCAGGTGACAAGGAAGAATCGCCCCCTCCTGATCCCCGAGCACAGAGTAGAGAGAAGGTGGGAGTAGTGCAGACCCGATGGGAGTTGTGGCTTGGTGGGTATGGCAAGGGAAGGTTACTGCAAAATTTGGGAGGAGAGTGCACCACCCCTGTTCACAAGGCACACCTGAGACTTAAGGAGATGCTGTGGGGAGGAGCACTTGTCGGGAACAAGTATTGAATCGTTTTGTGTGCTGTTGTCAACATCTGGAGTTCGCTGGACTTCTTGCCTTATTAGTGCCTTTGCCTTGTTGGACTTCTTATTGCCATATTACTGCCTTGTTCCTTTGCCTCGCTGGACTTCTTACCTTGAAGCCGTTGTGCTAACAGCATTTTGCTGGACTACTTGCAGCCAGAGGCTGCTGGAGGCATGTGTGAATGCTTTGCTCTGGGACTTGCCATAAGTGTGGGAGCGTTTGGGGGAAAGTTGTAGCAATAAAGGAAAGTTCGAACTATCAGCTGGCTGTGTTGCCTCGATGCCTGATTCACCACAATAACTTTGAACAGTCACTAAGCAACCAGTTGTAAGTTGAGGAGTACCTGTAGCTAAAAAATATTTATATTCATACACTACTGACCCAGCCTTGATTCCCCAAAACAATTTCTTAAGATAATATAATAGAAAGATATCAATGTATTTAAAATATATTTATTGTTCACAAAGTATAAGCATACAATCCAATTTTAAAAAACTGGGTGGGTGGGCAGAGCGTCCCGCTGCCGCATTACCGGTTTGCCCGATCTGGGGTGAACCAACAGCAACCCCCTCTGGCGTGTGTGTTTGTGTGTGTGTGTACTGGGTGCATTGATGCTTTCAGAAAAAAAGGAACTTAGTATTTTGTTTATAAACTCAATTTTATTTGTTGACCTCATCTAGAAATTTCCAGATATGTTCCTTGGTGCTACTAAGCCACAAAAGCTGTGCTAGGATAATACAATAGCAGTATCTATTTATTTACTAATATCTGCAAAGGGGGCTAAAAACAAAATATACACAATTATTTTCCTATGCGTAATACAGTAGTCAAAATGGATACAAAATCCCTATGCAGAAATTAATGACATTCTGGAAAAACTGACTTTGAAAAAGTAAGACAGTCTTATGAAATTATGCAACTAGGAAAGTGATATGAAGCAGTATTTTTCCTCAGCCTATCTGGAATGACTTTAGGTTTAAAGTTATTTCAACATATCCAGCACCAAGGAATAAGACAGTAAAATCGTTGTTTTTCCTCTACTTTGGAAGTAGATTTTCAGTGCTTTATACATTGAAAACCAAATAAACTTCACATTGTATTGCATCTGATTGCTGTAACCTAATGATTACAAATGTGAAGGAATTTGTTTCTTATTTGCATAGCAACATAAAGTGCCATAATACAGTTAGGTTTTTTTTCACCATGGTGCCTTAACATTGTACTGATATTTAGGAATCAGTTGTTGCTACTCTCCTCTATAGCAATATTTAAAAGAATACTGTCACAAATACTAAGATAGGAATGAACTAATTTTGTCAGTAAAATGCTGTTTCTTGGAGCATTTTCAATTAGATGATTCTCCAGAAAATGTGATATTTTAGATTTTATAGATTCATTTAGAGTTTATAGGTTCATTTGCTATGAAGTATATAGGGTTTTCATTTTGTAAGCTACCAAGAGCGGCCATTATTAAAACATGCACAAATGAATTAAGTAAATAACATTACTCATCAATACATTTATGCCATTTTTTTCATTTTTTCACAAATTTATGTATTGTTTAAAAAAGAGTTATTGACTGAAGCTTTAAGAGAATGCAAATATGAAGTCCATAAATAGATTTTTTTTAAAACTAAAGCACAAGATGCATGCCTGGAAACTTTTTTATTTTTTTTTCCCATCACAGCTGGAGCATAAACTGCCCACTAATTCTCACTCCCTTTTAGCTCAAAACAGAGTCCTCCTCTTTCCTATCTGATGAGCAGAGGGAAAGATTAACTTTTTATTTAGTACAATGTAGGGCCCAAAGTATTGTTACCACCCAAAGCTTTTGCACATGCGCCTTACAAGCGTTCTGTTTAAAATGGGCAGAGCGGAGAGAGCGGCCTGCTTCTTTACGCAGACCATACCAATACATCCATGTTGAGAAGGGGGATAAGCAGCCTACATTTTTTTTTCTACTGGGCGCCAGTCTTCCCATTTCATTTTCTGTAGCGCCCACAAACTAACTTGACCCAATATATTATGAACTTTGTGGTCAAACAGTAACTTTTTAAAATAAAACTATGTGAAACGAGGCTGAAACTTTCTTTCCTCCCCTCTTCTTCAATGGTTCCTTCGGCTGACAGCAGTCACGTCTGGAAGAGGCGGGGCCCTAGCTCCCTTACGCTGTCCCCGGCTCCGGCATCCGTGTTGCTGTGCCGTTCGCTGCCTTCCCAGATAGTTCGGCTTCGGTCCTGTGTTGAATCGAACCTATCCCTCCCGCTCGCCCGCCCTAAGGGAGCCTCCTTCAGACGGCTTCATGGCGTATAGTCAGGGAGGCGGCAAGAAGAAAGTCTGTTACTACTATGACGGTGAGAGAAGGGCTAAGTGGGGCGGGGCTGCAAGGGAAGGGGTGTAATATGCCCAAGAGCTGCTGTCCTTCTATCTGTCTACTTCAAACCCCCTCAGCCCCCCCAATTTTAATCGTTGAAGGGTGTTCGTTGGTTGCGCTCCTCGCGTCGCCCCTCCCATATACCCTCTTGTCCTCGCGCGCCTTCTTTTTTTTCTTTTCCGGCGCACGCGCCGCAGGCAGCCCCTCCCCCTAGTTTGTCTGGTACTGTTGCTTCTACCTATTGTGTCTGCCTAGCGTGCATTTGGATGTGGGACGCGCTGGCCGCTCGTCTCGTTTGTGATTTCTGGTCACACCGCTCTTCTCCGCCCCCCCTTTTTAACTCTTGCAATCTTTCTTCCATTCATTCCATTATTAAGTTGAGATGCATAATAGCTATTTTGCAAAGTCCGTGCATAACCTTGTATGGAAAACCGGTGGCTCTTTTGCCATTCCTCCCCCCCCCCCCACAGTTCCCATTTTGTTGTTATTCCATTTTGACCATAAATCCGAAATAAACGCCTTCGCTGCTTCAAATGGGAATTGCTCCCTGTCGTTTATGGGACTGAGAACTCAAGGTTGCAGAAATAAACCTGTGTTAAAATGCAGCGCTCTATAGTCCCAAACGCTGTGAAAGGTTTTGTTTTCCTGATTCTTGCCCTCTCCCTTCCAGTAGAATGCAAAATAAATACCACTGGCAGGGAGAATTGTTTAAATTAATAGGATATTTTCTTGGTCATTAACTTTTTAATGTTTGGGCAGTTAAAGATTGATGTAAAACTCTAAAAGTTTTCAGATTGTTTTTTGAAAAGGAAGGTAAATATTTTTAATTCCCATTAAAAGGAGAAATGTAAGATTGTGTCCCATCAAAAAGTACAAGAGAAAGCTTTTGAGCAAGTCCATTACAAAACGCAAAAATTAAAAATGATGTACTCCAGGTATTTTTATGTTAATACCCAAAATTAAAAAAAAATAGGTGTTTGGTGAATCAGAATATATAATGGGACATCTGAGCTAATCAATAGAAGATCAAATATTTCAGTTTGAATTTTTCCAATAGCATTTTTTTTCCTCAGATAAATTGATCAAACCTCACAAACTAAGTAAAAGAATAGTAAAACTATCTGCTTGCAAAGACTCCAAGAATGGGCAAAAAGTGTTTTTATGAGGAAATTACTGAGAAGTTATCTGTTTAGAAGAATTGTTAAAACCTTAATTGAAAACAAATATTCTCAGAATAGATTTTCACAATAGGAATACAGTGATATGAGATACAGGTAACTGCTGTTTGAATAATGATGGTAGGACACAAATTAAAGATGGGCTGTTCCTAATGATCATGCTAAAAAGTTATCCTCCAGTCCTTGAATCTCCTGAATAATATTTTGCCATAAACTGTGTTTTGCTGCCCTTATATCTTCAAGAAAATCAAATGCAGATTCTCCTAACTTTGTTTTTCCTCTTGGCTGCTAATGGGAAAAATACTCTCCTTAATGGGTGGTGGGGCAGGGTTGAGGGAGCATAGGTGAGTACTGAGGATTTAAGATATAGCTATCTTTCATATTCCCTGAATTATTGATTCTTTGTGGTTGTGACCAGTTAGTCTGGGCTATTGTGACCATGGCTCTTCTGAAAGTACATTAAACCTATGTTAAAAAGAACCCAGACAACAGGTTGCAGGATTCATTGTTTCTTTTATATTCACTGTTATTCTTACTCCTTGTCTCTTTGTGGTATATATTGCTACTAGTTCATTCTGAATAATCCATTTTCTCTGTCACTCAAAAGTGATTAAGAATAAATGTAATATTCTTTCAGAAATACAGGTTAGCATACTGGTTCATAAACAAGCGTATATAAAACTTTAAAATCTTCGGAAATCACCAGCCTGATGTACCAGAGGCAGTTGCCTCTGCACAGCCTATCATGCAGTAGTGGCTGCACCACTGGAAAACCTGAAGGCTGGAATTGAAAGAAAGTGACACTTTCCCTGGAGAAAGTGTCACTAAGAATTCTTGCTAATTTGATGGCACATAATAAGAATTCTTGGAGAAGTAAAGAAGCAGAAGTTAGGGAAAAAAACTATTATATACAAATTAACCTTTTATGTTACATTTGACTCAGTATTATGAAATTGAGACTCAAAATAATACTTTTTGAGTCTGATTCATTGCATATTTACCTCATTCTAACACTAAAAATAATAATACATTGTTGTACTTGTAATGTGGAATGGCATGCTAAGTTGTAGAAAGAAAGTTGATCTATTTTTGGATTCTTTACTTAAAATTCCCTTCAGTAATTTCCTAAAAATAATAAAACAGCTTTATTGTTGTGTTTATTTTCAAATCATTGTTTTGTTTAAAGAACTTAGAATGAATGGGTAAATACATTAGCTTCAATTCAAATAAATGCTTGGTAGGCTTTTAAAACCAAGAATTCCATGCAGATCACTGAGCAAAACTTTGCAAATACAATATACCTAGTTCTTGACTTACAACTATTCATTTAATGATAGTGCAGAGTATGATGGCACTGAAAAACATGACTTGCAATATTCCTCAAAGTTATGACTGTTGCACCACCTCCTTTGTCAGGTCACCGCACTCTTGATACAGGCAACCATTTGTGATCTTCCCAGCTGTCTTCTGACAAGCAATATCAAAGGAAAAGCCTCATTTGCTTAATGACAAGAGTAAAAATGATTGTAAATGGCTCCAGTCACATAGTGACTCACATAACAATTCACTTGCATAGTGACTGAAATTTCTGAAAAGTAGAGTTGTGGTAAAATAAAATAGGTGTATGGGATGGTAAGCAAAGCAATCCCGATTATGTATTTTAATTTTTATATGGAAAATGAATGTTCAAAATTGTTAATACACAATGTGAATAATAACTATGAGAATGTATGAGATTAAAAATTTTAAAAAAAAAACTTTTTACAAAAAAAAAATGTTTGCAGGCAGGATGCTTCCCCTCCAGAGGGGAAAATGCTGGAGAACACCAGTATATCAAAAGGCTCAGAACATTGGATTTTGTTGCTTTTTCACCAGATTTGAGGTCTCTTCTTCCACTGCACAGCATGATTTTTTCCCTCTGTGCATTGAGAGGAGGGAAAATCTCTGAGTGTGTTAGGGGAACACACCATATCTAATATTCCTTCTGTTTGCAACCTTCCCTGCTGGCTTCCCAGGTGAAAAGTTTGCTTTTCTGAGTAAGCCAGCAGAGAAGATTGCAAATATTCTCATGATCACAGAACACTAGGTAATCAGTTGTACATTTGAACAGGTTGCCAAGTCCCCAAATTATAGTAATTTGAGTGGAGGGCAACTCAATGTTTCATGACATCTGGAAATGCTTTACAGGCTACAAAGCACCTGTTCCAGAGCCATTGTGACTGCAAATGCTTGTTAAACAATCAACCTGTACTGATTTAACCTAATCAACTCTCTCTATTGATTAGGACTTAAGAATTAAAAGGATAATAGTATATTTCATCAATTTATCACTTTATTTTATATACTTATTGTTTAATTGAAGAAACTAAATGCAGTTTACAGCTTTTGTTAAACATACCTGTTTTGAATGTAAGATGAGAATATCACCAGGATTAATATTTACCTTAGGTTAAAATAATATTTTGCACATGCGGATTACATAGATCATTTATCTTTGCACGAGAGAGAGAGAAAGTACTCCATGGGCATTTTCAGAATGTAGAAGAAAATATGATTCTTTGGGAATGTCAAGAACATGTTATGTAAGTTTTATAGATTTAGTCTGCATGAAGATGGTAATGGCAGCAAGTAGTAACACAGCTTGTGCCATAATTCTGTTTCAAACAATCTTAAGTCATCAATTGTTGGCAGCTATCACTGTTTCTTCCAGTGTCCAGAATATGTAAATGAATTGCAATGTTTCCAATCCTGCATAGATTCTGAAGGCTTCCAAACCCCATTAGTTTTTTTTAATGTTCACTAACAAAGTGATACTCAAAGTGATGACTGATGAATGTATCATAAAACTCAAAGCTACAAAAAAGTAATAAACAGGATTGTGTTTTTTTGGTTCTAGGTGACATTGGTAACTATTATTATGGCCAGGGACACCCAATGAAGCCTCACCGAATCCGTATGACACACAATTTATTGTTAAATTATGGCTTGTACAGAAAAATGGAAATCTATGTAAGTATGCATTTATTGCTATCACTTAAAAGTCGGTGATCAGTGAAAAGAATATAGCCCTACAAATAATAGGCTGTCTCCGTGAAACATTATACGTTATTGTAGAGACACAAAGTCTTTTTTAGAATATCACATCAGAATAACAAATCTATGATCTGTTGGGACATAGATTTCGAACTCATGTGATCTGTCCTGCCACAATACTTTAGGAGAACACTATAAATAAAGTCCATCTCAGCTACCCTGCACCTTCTCTGACAGGGAAAGAAAAGAAGTAATCAAGATTGTTGGAACTGTGCTCATAGGAGGTGTGTTTTGTAGCAGCATGCATTCTGGGAGGAGAGAGAAAATATGTTGATATGATATTTGCCTTTGTTCATGGAGAGGTTCAATTAAAAGGCCTACTAAAGCAGCTATACCTCAACATTTTATACTTTTCTTGACGGAGCAGGGGAGATAAAGGTGTTCCACGTTGAATGAGTCAAAATGAGTTTGGAAAAAGAACTCCCAGTATCACCATGAAAAGATAAGGCATCTCATGCAAGGCAGTGCAGGAGATAATTGTTGGTTGTACACTTCATGGAATGATTTCCTTTCTGCTGGAAAAAGTAGAATGATTTTTTTTTATGGACTTCGTGGCCTTGTTCTCTAAAACTTGATTTTAATTATTTGATATATACTTGGTAATATATGTTTTCTTTTATGATCAAAAATATTTGTATTTAATCTATACTTACTTTCTACTATATTATAAAATATGTGCAGCAACTATTTTACTTAGGTGGCAAGGACAAAATTGAAATTATTAATCTACTTCTTTATGTCAGTTTAATGTGTCTGTTGAAATATGTCTCTACTTAAAATGCTGCTAGTTCTTTTCCTGTAGTACAGCCATGTCAATCTTGTTGCTTATTAGCGTCCCCACAAAGCTACAGCAGAAGAAATGACTAAATATCACAGCGATGAATACATCAAATTTCTTCGTTCAATAAGACCTGACAATATGTCTGAATACAGCAAACAAATGCAGAGATGTAAGTCTCCCATTGATTTTAAATAAAAGAATAGCAAAATAAATGTTATGTCTTGCATTCAAAGAAAATCTGAGCTCCATTTCTAAAACAGTTAATTTTTCTTCAATATTATAGAATTGATTTAAGGAAGAAACTTACAAAATATTTTATTACTTATTGAATTTTGGTGTGATTGTTACCATTTCCAGTAGTTTATTTCTTTGCCTGTTATATGGAGAATAATCAAAACGTTGTTCAAACAAAATGCTCCTAATTACTATTTTGTAGTGTAAGGATTGAAAGTTATTCAGTTGGGATTCACAGTTTTTCTCTAGTTAAAATGAGCTTTGAAGCAGTAATGCACTTCTATTGGAATAACCGTATTGCTTCTAATCACCATTAACTTAACAGAGGCAGAAAGAAACTATTTCCTTTAGTTAACCACCATCCAGTTATTTCCCTAGCACCAGCATGAACAGGAAAGGATATAATAAATAAAGGGCAACACTATGGGATTTAGCAGCATTAGTTTGAATCTTTCTTAATGACCAAGTTTCAAATGCATGAAATTAAACTCATTTAAAATGAAGATTTCTATCTATAGTTTAGGATTATTATATGCAGCAGAGGAGGAAAGCTGCAGTTCTTTAATTTCCGTGTGTCAATATTATTAAGTTTGTTAGAGCAAAGTAATCAACAGGCGCAGCATCTATGGTAGTGAAGTAAAATTGTGAAACAAAATTAACTTCTACAATAAATGGATAGCAATAGCAATAGCAGTAGACTTATATACCGCTTCATAGGGCTTTCAGCCCTCTCTAAGCGGTTTACAGAGAGTCAGCATATTGCCCCCAACAATCTGGGTCCTCATTTTACCCACCTCGGAAGGATGGAAGGCTGAGTCAACCCTGAGCCGGTGAGATTTGAACCGCTGAACTGCTGATCTAGCAGTAGCCTGCAGTGCTGCATTTAACCACTGCGCCACCTTGGATATCGGTAATATGACCTCACTTGGAATATTAGTATTTGTTTTTAGTTTCTTAATGTCAAAAATTATTAGCAAAGGAGACCTAAAAAATATACATGTACCTTGAGAGAGAACTTTATATGATTAATGAAAGTTTTCTTTATTAGTTAATGTTGGGGAAGATTGTCCTGTGTTTGATGGACTGTTTGAGTTCTGTCAGCTGTCAACAGGAGGCTCTGTAGGTAAGTTTATTCTCCTTAGTTCTTTTTCTTACTTATGATTTTTCAAAGTTTTGTCAATTAAGTAGCACTAACTATGTTACTTTAGGTATATTTTCATGTTCTACCTTGAGTAGATTTTTAAAATCTCAGCTGACCTTTCTCCCTGTTAGTGTGATTAGCATGGTCTTCCTGTGTGGCAAAGGGACTTCATTGGATGGCTGACTATGGGCTGGGGCAGCTGTCCTCGTTGTATCAATGGGACTAAATGCAGGGGCAATGGGGCTTGAGGTAGCACTCCTCAGTAGAAGTAGAGGCTCAGAGGCAGTAGCAGCAGGTTGTCCCAATATATGCTTCTGAATATTGCCACTTTGCAGGACAGCCAAAAGGACAGATATTTTTTGGGGGGGAGTGGGACATTGATAGTAGCAGATATTGAAGAGGGTTGGAAGAACCAAGGCTTGGGGCTGAATGAAACCAAACTGGGAATGGCTTGGATCAAGTTGGATATATATTGTCTAATAGCTACATGGGATTCACTAAACTGTCATTCCTAAGTGGGGCAGTCAAGTAATGTCTCATTTAATGACCTCATTGCTTAACGATAGAGCTACTGGTCTCAATTGTGGTTGAACCACAATCTGTATGAGATTTGCAACACAGCAGCAGAAGTGTTTAAAAAGACAACCTGTTGAAATTCAAACCAGAACAGAAATGTGTTAAGTGATTCTGTTATTTTTCTTCTTAGGTACTATATCTTGTCTTTTTAATTTCTGCAAAATGTTTTAACTGCATTTTCTCATGATGTTTCTTTAGCTGGAGCAGTAAAATTGAATAGACAACAAACAGATATGGCTGTTAATTGGGCAGGAGGACTTCATCATGCTAAGAAATCAGAGGCATCTGGTTTCTGTTATGTCAATGATATTGTGCTTGCCATTCTTGAGTTATTGAAGTAAGTTCTTGGTACAGTTATATGCATAAGTTACCCATTAAATAAGGTGAAAACATGAGCATTGCATTGAAAGTGAGCATGTTGAGCAAAGAAATAGAGTTAGGAAAAGGGTTTTTGGTAGTTTCTCCTTTATGGATTCTTTCTAAATAATTTAATTTAAAAATGTTATGCTCTGCTCCAAAACTATCTGACTGTATTATAATTAGTGAAAGTGAAAGAACAGTTATAACAAGCCTTTATCTCCAATCATGTGATAGCTGTAGTTTTTCATACCACATGATTCTTATTAATACCTTTATTGGCATGAATGTTTTTTTAAAGTATAGATAATCATTATATCTTTTATTATAGGTTGGTCTAATTTATTATAATAGTTCTATTATAATTTTAATATTTTAATAGCTAAATTTGGTTTCATATATTTCTTGATGTCTGTAAAATATTTTGGTGTATCTATGCACTTGGTGTTATCATTTTCAGTAATATAGCAATTTCTTAATGAATTCATAACAAACATAATTGGCTAAGTCTTTATTTCAGTCTCGTATAAAAATGCAAAATTAAGCTACTATAAGATTAAGCTGTTAGTTAATTTTGGATTAGCAAATACAAGTGGGGATAGTTCAGCTCCTTAAATCTAAGATTATGAATATTATCATAAAGAGTAGAGCAATCATAATAATAGTGGAATGTACAAGTTATCCATTAAATTATCAGAATATGCTTAAATTCTTACCAAATTCACACATGGTCATAAACACAGATGCATAGGTGTATATTTAAATAGTACTTTTTCAGGATCTTAAAAATATATTTGTGGGCACATATCAAGAGGAATTACCCATAACCAGAAATTGAAGTTTAAAGAGTTTCTGTGTAAATGTGTATATGCACATTTATTGTCTCTTTTAAAAGATAGAAGGGGTAATTAATATATAATTATAATGTCAACAGCTTCATATTAAAGCAGTGGGGTTTTTCTGGGAAGCATCATAGCAACAGGGCTAAATGTTAAAGTCAAACGATGCAAAACATACATTTAAACAAAAAATATAACTATGAAAATTGAGATTAACAGAAGACCTAATAGCAGCAAGCAGATTAAAGGTAAAGAAGAGAGAAAGAAAATGCAAAAGGAAGTAAAAAGAAAGCAAAATTTCATTACCTTATTTTCACTATCACTCTTACAACCTTCTGCAAAATTCCTGCCTTTGAAAATTAGTGTTTTGCTGCCAAATATGTTGGTGGTGTGATTAGGAGGGGAAAGAGTGGTGTGTCTACAAAAAAAATGTGGCTACCGAATTTAAATTCATTAATTTAAAAAGTAATTGGACTGTTCATAAGTTGTATGAGTATGGTACAAGGAGGGGCAACAATTCTGGTAAGATTTATCATAGTTACATGCAAAATTAATGTGGGTATACCTTTCTGTCATATGTAGCATTTTTGTATGCAGAATTCAAGAAAGTAGCTTCCACTTTAAGAATAAGAAAAAAATCAAATAGTGAATTGATGTTAGAATGTAATGCTATATTTTGAATTACACACACACACACACACACACACACACGAATCTTATGGAAGGAGAATTTTTATCCAGTCCCCCCTCCAAGCTTGATAGAATTTCCAAACGTGTATTTCCATAGTTTTGCTAGATACTTTTTTATGTTACTAACTCATCTATAAAATAACCAACAATAATAACATTAAAAGGAAAACCAAAAAGAAAAATGCATGGATATATATATAATACCAAACAGCATTTACTGTGCTTATTGACCAATGGTCCATTAAATGCCAAATAAAATACAAAGTAAAGTATTTCCCCCCCCCCAACTTACCACATGATTCAATCTAAATAAATTTTAGAAATAATAAAATAGAACTTGGCCACATTCAAATTTAGTCACATCAGTCAGCTAACAGCATCTGTATGAAGAATGTATTTGAATTTCCTGAAAAATTAGTTATAAAGAAACTAAAATAGCTTTGGGGATTTATAAAATGGACAGCAGCAAGCATTGGCCACATATTCAATTGCTTTTCATCACAAGTATAGAATTTTGATTTATATTTTCTGAATTTTCCCTCAAAAGCAGCCATCGAGAATGTGTTAAAATGTGTTAGGTTAATGCTGTTCTGAAATTGGTTATGATTTTTTTGATTTAAATATTTTGCTGGCCATAAAAAGGCGGAGTCAGAAACATATCTCTAAGGCAGACAGATTGAATTGCCCTTTTCTGTACGTTGCATTTTATTTAAGACCTGATAAGCCTGCTTGTAAAAGTGCCTTGTGAAAAGCAATTTCTAATAAAGCAATCTTCTCCAAATCAACTGAAAACTATTAACCAATATCAGAAATCCTACACTGAAAGTAAAAAGTAGTAGCTGTAACCAGTTTAAAACAGTACGTAAGCATAAATTAGTCTCCATTTAAATCATGCTGGACTCTCAGAGAAAACATATCTAAAGTATAGTTTTTAATTTGTACTACAACTTAAAATGTGGAAATAAAATGAAATGCAAGCTTAATATCAATAAAAGGAGTACACAGCACTAATTTTGACTTGATATATATTTTTCAAGTTAGTGCTAATACTTAACATATAACTTCTACAGTAAAACATGCCTATTTTGCTTGCCAGCATATATTCTGTATTGGTCAGTTTGAGAGTTGAATTTATAGTTGTTTGGCATAAAGCTTGCTAATTACATTTAAGAGACTGATGTGTCAATAATTAGCAGGCAGTCCTGATTTCCTATAAAATTAAGTCCATTATCTTGGGTTAATTCAAGGGATGAAGAAATAAATCATTACGTGATCGTTGGTGGTTATAATTGGTAACAAGTATCATTGCAGATGACCTGAAGCCCTTTATTCTTTTTTTCCCCTAAAGAAAAAAGGCCTCTTTCACAAGGACTGCTAAAAATTGATAGCACAGCTTCTTTAAACTTTAAAGTAGAAGTATAAAAACTGTAATATAAATCTAAAATAGGCATCTCACACAGTTAAATTAAGAACCTTATGTAATTGTATCTTTGTAACCTTAACATGCAATTGTCAATATAGTTATACATTATGAACTCCCTATTATATACGCCATCATTCAGGCTAATATTTGAAAATGTTCTATTACTGGAGTTGAGTGAAGGATAAATATGATTATATTGTGGCACTTAAATCTGCATATTAGAGATAATTGATTAAATCTGGGATGGAAAAGAAAATCAAGGATTTTTCTAGCCATATTTTCCTCTGAAGAAGAGCAGTGAGATTTTTTTCTATTGCTTTACTAATTTCTTTTCTTTTGTGTCCAGATATCATCAAAGAGTTCTTTACATTGATATTGATATCCATCATGGTGATGGTGTTGAAGAAGCTTTTTATACCACAGATCGAGTTATGACAGTATCATTCCATAAATATGGTGAATATTTCCCTGGAACAGGCGATTTAAGGGTGAGTTCAGTCATAAGCTTATTTAATTAAGATAACATTGTAGAAATGCTATTCTTAAGCCTCATTTTCAAGTTAAATTAGTTATTAGTTTCTGTCTCTCTTTTCCATTAAGTTCATTTAAAATTTATCAGGATTTACATTATTAGTGTAAGTCCAGATGCTTATTTTTGTACATTTCTGGGAGAAGTGCAGTATTTTAAAAGTAATTACACTTTTATATTAGATGTGGCATCTGGAGGGTACTAACGTTTTAAACAAAAGTCATTTTAGCATCTAGAGTGATTGTGAAGTTCTTCCAACCTAGTATCTGGACTCCATTTTTCACTTGCAAGATAAATACCCAGAAAACCTAAAAATGGCAGGTCAAAACTAATAGATACCAGGGTGCCTTTAAGATTTCTCAATAATTTTAATTGAACTATACAAACAGAGTCATTGTTTCATTTTCAAGGATTAGTATGACAACAAACATAATATTTAGCATTAAAAAATATATGCCTTTATTTTGTTCCTATAAAACATGAATAAATACACTCACTGTGTTGTAAAAAGGGTAACATTTTATTTGAGATAATGCTACATTGTGCAATAGTATAAAGGAACTATAGAAATTTGAGTTTATAGACAAGGCAGAATACAGGAAAAAACAAAGGTCTAATAATTCAGATAACCCAGTGTCAAATCACAATTTAATTCATAATTATTTAAGGATGTATCCATGACAAATGTTACTGTATCACTAGAATCCATTAGACACATTTGAGTCTAGGCCAATGCTTGGCTATTATTTTTTTAGAATCCCACATTCAGAAAAACTGAATGCCTCCTTTGAATATACTGCTTTAAAAAAAAAACTTTAAAAGAATAACAAGTAAAAATACTTCACAAAAAACTTAAGACATTGCACGAAATCATGTTTTAAGTACTGTTTTGTTGAACAAACTACAGTGGCCTTGTTCTTAAGTAATGCTGTATTATGCTAACAATGGTTGGGCCAGCATAGTGTTTTAAATTGTTGGACAGACTAAGGAGACTTCAGTTCAAGTCCCTATTTGATCAGAAAGCCGATTAATTGACTTGAAAGGACCTTGGGGCAAACCCATGTACACAATGTTAAAAATTGTAGAAGAAAGTCAAAATATAAATGCAATAGACATAATAAATCTGGTTCTGATAAAGTTTTCTGAGTAGAGCAACTAGCTATAATAATATATATGTGGGTGCATAATCTTGTGTCTCTAAACTATAACAGTTAAGAAAACAGAGATAATTTCTCTTGCTTCAGAGTTTCTTGGTAGTTGATGAATAATATTTTAAGAAGCTTTGAAAATTTTTGGCACATTCTTATTTTGCCATTTTAGGTTGGCTGAATCTTTAGTATCAATAGGGCTGTGTTCTGAGATTAGAGAAACCAGATGATTTTTGATGTCATTAAATGTTAAGACTAATAATGGACTTGATGTTTGCACTCATAGCAATTTATCTTTTAAAAGGTAAAAATCAGTTTCTTACCTTTTTAATAGGAACTAAATACAATAGTTTAATAACTGTAAGAAACTTTTCAACTTGTCTGACCACAAGATGGTACTATTGCTTCATACTAATCACAGGTGATTTTGAGGAAAAAAATCACATGATTAAGAGTATAAATACTATTGAATACCTATCAAAAATAGGTTAGTTGATGGTATGAAATATCATTGAAAACTTTAACAAGATCTGTAAGGTTGCACTTCCTCCATCTAGGTCACAGCAAACATCAGCCACCAAAGCAGCCAATTTCATAGGGCCTGGCCTGAATCCAGATGGAAGAGGTCCAAATGATCTGTTTCCTCTAGAAGATTCTTCCATTTTTTCAATAACCTACATTTTAAAAAAAATAGGAAATGCGGGATGTGGGACAATAATGTTCAAAACAAAGATTTTTGAGAAGTTGATCATTCTGGGTACACACCGTTGTTTTTGTATTATAAGTTATTTCCGCTGGAAATAAATACTATTCATATTCATTCTGGTGAATATGAATAGTAACCCATTGTTTAAAGGAGTGCAGCTGTTAAAATTACTGAATGAAGGATTTAGAATTTATATAAAAATACAAAGGAAATGAACATAAAAGAATATTATTTTGTGTCTTTTGCTTAGTGAAATGTGGCACATTTCTTGTAGATAAAATAGCATGTGATTTTACGCATCTGACAGAGCAGACCCATGACTTTACACCCTATCCCCAGGTAATTGGTTGTTTTATAAAATCTAAGCTGCCTGAATATCTGTATTTTACACCATCCTCATTCCTGGTGAAAGACACTGTATTTTACCCTGTACAGTGATTCCAAATCATGCTTTGCTGAGATAAATTGCATCCTAATTTTGCTTCTGGGTCTGATTCTTCTGTATTGTCACATGTCTATAGTTTGTTTCTCTGAACATACTCCTTTTGTACATTTTTTTCTATTGCACAAATCAAATGCTTTATAGTATATCAAAAATTTCATGTAAAATTTGTTTGATACCTCTGTGGTATACATTATGTTTATTTTCTATTTGATATTTCTCACATGCTATAATATAGAAGCAATATTTTAAAATCACTTGTAACAGCCAATGTTGATCTGGAATTAAATGCAGCATACCCTGCTTTTTTCTCTCCTTGGCTACCAATGTGCAATGCCTTATGTTCATACTTTTCTTATAGGACATCGGAGCTGGAAAAGGCAAATACTATGCTGTTAACTTTCCAATGAGAGATGGAATAGATGATGAGTCCTACGGACAAATATTTAAACCAGTGAGTACATTCTAAACACCTTTTAAAATAGATATTGTAGTATTAAATAAAAGGTTTAATAACATCCCTGCTTTTTTATAGATTATATCTAAAGTGATGGAAATGTACCAACCTAGTGCAGTAGTATTGCAATGTGGGGCCGATTCACTCTCTGGTGATCGACTGGGATGTTTTAATCTTACTGTTAAAGGTAAGGGAACAAATACAGAAACATCACAGCTTCATATTCTTGAAAACAGCGTTAGAAATTTTTGGTGGAAGTGTTTTATGAACTTTAATTTGCTAAAGAATTCAGCTTTATGACCTATAATGAGTTTCCACTTCTAAACAATCCCAGACATTTGTCTTTCATTTCAGCTGTATTTCGTAATGCTTATGTAGCTGTTTATATACAACCATTGAGTTTTAGTGGGATACTTTCAAAGTATTTATTCATTTATGTGGAATGAAAATAGTAATTAAATAATTTACAGTTAAATTGTGATGTGTTGTTTATAAATGAATGGGTCCTCTGAAAATTTGTATCACCTTCTAAAAACTTAAAATGCCTGTTATTGACAACTGTTTGTTTATGTAGTTTCTTGTACACAGCAGACAGTTGAAGGAATAACTTAAAAAGCTGTTCCATTTTAGTATTTTTACATATAAGACTGTTGTGGCTTGCTTGTCAAATGGCATGTGAAGAAAAAGATATACATAAACATGCAGAAAAATCTATATGCTACTAACACCCTTGTTTCCATAATCTTTAATGGGGCAAAATGGTGCATCATAGGGCAACCATTTTTGAATCAAGTTATTTCAAATGGGCTAATTTATAGAATGCATCCGAAATCTAGGACACATGACTGAATGAAATTTAGGGAAGTTGTGGCTGCTGCAGTCATCTACGCAATATTCTGTGACACTTACCTGCCCACTGGCCTTAGACTTGCAATTTTTTCTGGCTTCCCCACTGTTTTTCTCTGAAACCCTCCCACAAGCAAAATAAGCTGTCCAGAATTCTGGAAAGGGGAGGGAGGAAGGGAGCTTCCCACAAGGAAACTCAATGGGGAATCTAGACGGAAGTCATTCCCACGCCCACTGCCTATCCATGGTCATTCTGTTTCTCTGTTTAGTTAAGGAAATGTCTCTGAAATAATGACCCAACAGGGCACAGACTGTTTAATATACTACTAAGACTTTTGTGTCTATGTGATTGTTTAAAAACTTGGGTAAAATTGTGTGTGATAGGGCAACAGATTTTGAATCAACATACCTTGAATGGGCTAAATTCCAGAATGTGTCCAAAATCCACAACCCATGGCTCTCAAGAGATTGAAATTTGGCAAAGTTGTGGGCACTTTGCTACTACTATGTTACTGTGCTGCTTGTAGTCACATTTCTGACACTCCCTGCCAGCTTCCAACAGTGAAAGTCTGTCGGGAAGCCAACAGAAAGATGAAACTGTGTTTGCTCCTACTGTTTTTTTTGCCATCTGAGGTCATTCTGTTTTGTTTTTTTAAAGAAAGGAAATATCTCAAACAATGACCCGCTGATTTATCGATTGTCTATCAGCCTTTCCTTAAATATAGTATTATGTTAATCTAAAGTTGCTGATGCTTAAAAAGTTTTTCCCATTAATGGGAACACAATCATTCATTAGTTACACTTAATTGTGGGCAATTCTGTGCCTTTTTTAATACCTGGAAAACAATTTACATACAGGTAGCTCAGTGCATTAATGCAAAATACCTTAAAACATTTTAGGTAATCATAATACTATTGATCATCTTAATTTTAGATTGTTTTCCTTAAGACCAATAAATTACCTGTATTTTAAAACTGAAGTGCTATATGCTTCCCCCCACTTTATTCTATCATTTCAGATATGCTTTGTTTAGTTATGAGTTCTCAATGTAGAAAATCCTTATTTGGTAATCTTCATATTAAATATGTGTGCCTTTTGTAACTGCATGTTTTCTTTTTATATGTCCATGACTTCTGGCAGGTCATGCCAAATGTGTGGAAGTTGTAAAGACTTTCAACTTGCCTCTTTTGATGCTTGGAGGAGGTGGATATACCATACGCAATGTTGCTCGATGTTGGACATATGAGACTGCTGTTGCCTTAGACTGCGAAATTCCTAATGGTACATATTATACTAAAAAGTACAGATTGTCTAATAATCTAAGTTATAATTAATATAAGTCAACTTAGACTTTCTCTGCCTTAACAAATTCCTAATTCCAGCAAGAATTTTGTACATTGTGATTTTGAGTGGCATCATCCAAAAGCCCTATAGTTCTAATTTTCTGCAAAATTCTTCAGACCTCATTCTAGCCCTGCTTCTCTTTCTGTGGTGTCTTGACTCCAAAACCTGGTTACATATTTGATTCTTGGTTTTTGCTATGCTCAACATTTCTGCTGTATAGAAGGGACTGGACCCTTCAAAGTTACCCTTCCCATAGCTTCCTATGTTCATCTCTTCCCCTGAGTCCCTCATAAAAGTAACAGACACAATTGTTGTAGAATCCAAGCACCATCTCTGTAGCTGGTTATATTACCTTCCAGAATTTTGTTCTCTTCTTGGGCCATGATCCTCAATTGAATATCCTGACAAAAATATCTACACTTCCAATTTCTTTATCTTCTAACTGAAGGCTTTATAATCTCCAAAGATTCTTTCAGGATCTCTTTTGGCCATACCATTTGTTCATTTGCATATGAATTTCATTTGCATATGAATCAAAAGGAATGAATAGTTGGTGGGTTTGAATAATGTTGGTAATGTTTTTTAGAAGACAGTAGGAATGACCTTGAAGGACAAGAGGAGGAGCTCCTACCAAGGCAATGGCCCTATAGTAGGGTCTTGATCCTGGACCAAGAAAACATCTCAAACAAGCCCCTTCCTAATTTGCACAAAGATAAAGTGAAGGAATTCATATTTGCAATATTCTATTACTATCGTTGTTACAATAAAAGTAGTCCTGGCATTTGTGGTATTAACTTTTGAACATAATCTGTCTTTTTGGGCGGACCTCTCTGTCATATTATGGAAAAACAGTGCTTTGGCTGCATCTTTCTTATTCTTCCACCCCTGTTAATATATATTTGTTGTCTGTCCTCAGTGATCTTACTCTCTGGAAGCATCCTTAAATTTACAGTGTAAAGCTTATACTGTAACTTGTAATTGTTACAATTATAGTGCAAGGTTTTTTTTAGTGAAGTAGTGGGGGGTGTTATATCTTAAAATAATACATATTTATAATATGTTCTCAAACAAAATGTCAATATGTTTTATTTCCCTGTTGAATCCAGTGGATTTTGTAGTGTTTAAAAGGCATCCTTAGTATTTTGGTGTGTGTGTGTGTTATAAGAGTTATATCTTCCTATTATTCCTTTGTTGACTAAGAGACATTCTTTTTGTAACTATTACTTGCCTATTGAATTTTTACTTCTTGAATAATTATTAAAAAGTAAAAGTTCAACTGATGTTTCTTGAATGCAAGAGTTTATAAAAATAATACTTATTAAAAATAATTTTAATATTGAAAATAAATAAAACACATAAAATCCTGTATGTAATTACATTCATAACTTTAGACAGTGATTAAAATTAATTATTTAAGTTCTTCCAGTCAGTATATAGAAATGACCATCCAGTTTTCTTGATGACATTTTCAGATGTGTTTGGTCAGTGCCTCCTTTTTCAGGGAATGACTGACTTGGTCACTTGGCTGGTTTCCATGCTTTACTCAGAATTAACACTGCTATTCTCCCAGCTTTTTACTCCAGCACTTTTAACCACTAAATCAAACTGACTGTGTGTGGTACTATGTATAAAATGCATTTCCAATTTTTGAAGTAAATATTTTAATTGAATTATTTAAAGTCTTTTGGGCGTAATACCATACAGATTCATTATTTTAAGCTTTAGTAGTTCAAAAGAGACGTATGTTTGGAAGCATCACTTTTGAAGAACTTTCCTATTCTATCTCATATTATACTTGTACAGCTTTAAATGAATGCATGTACTTAGTGTTTAAATGAATACATTCCAAAATTCTAGGTGTCAAAGGTTGAAACAAAAACATGACTGAAGAAAATCACTTCCTATGACATTGCAGACACTATTTTTCTTTTTCTTTTACAGAATATAAATATTCTGCATGTACATAATATAACACTAATTGAAGCAAACCATAATTTTGAACTATAATATATTTTACTTGTTTCTTCTAGAATAAATCATAGCATTTATTATTTTGATAACTGAAAATTTTTATAGTAATATTTTCAAATATACTAGTAAGATCTGTAAGTCTGTTAGGAATTCAACAATAAAAATAAAATTATGTCTCAATTTTGTTTTAACAGAATTGCCATATAACGATTATTTTGAGTACTTTGGACCAGATTTCAAACTGCATATAAGCCCATCAAACATGACAAATCAGAACACTCCAGAATATATGGAAAAGATTAAGTAAGTATTAATGTCCTATTTTTAATAAAAACAATAATACTGTGAAAATTTGTAATTTTTTATTAAATGATCAGAAATAATAGAAGGCAAGATAATAGATTTGCTAATTACATCTGGGGTCTGAAATAGTATAGAAAATGAAAACTGACAGTTTATCCATTTAGTAACTTGTAAGAAATATCACTTTTCCTCTTCTAAACTGAGGCCCATCTGTATTAAAATCTTTTTTGCTTAGAAAGTAAAGTCTGGTAAGGCTCAGAAATCTTTTTTATCATTAATGTTCATAGCTTGCATATTATTTTGAAAACTGGAATATGTTATCACTATAAAGTTACATTAGTAATTTTCAGGAAGTTCATTGAACATTGAAAACAGGATAATTGTTCAAAGCTTGTATTAAAATTGTGTGAACACTTATGCAGGTGTATTTATGCTTACAGAACACCCATTTGTTACATTAGTCAGTTTTTTTCTGTGAATTTCTATTCTGTGAAGTCTTATTGCCATATAACTTACTTTTCTAATAGTTTCTCGCAATCAGAAAGCTAACATTGTCGATAGTTAAAAAATTCAAAGACAGAAACAAAGTTGTTTCATAGTAAACTGCTTTCTTTTGCAGGCAGCGTTTATTTGAGAACTTACGCATGCTGCCCCATGCTCCTGGTGTGCAGATGCAAGCTATTCCAGAAGATGCCGTTCATGAAGACAGTGGTGATGAAGATGGCGAAGATCCAGACAAACGTATCTCTAGTAAGTAAATTGTATAGGTAATGCTTAAAATGTTGGCCTTGAATTTTTGGATTTTGCTTCCAGTTTTTGGGGAGAAAATAACCACAATCCTAGTGCAATTGCTTTTTTGAAGAAAAAGTCACTTTGCTTCTTTGTAATTGCTTGTGAATAGATATAAATAAATAATTGCTTTTAAAAATGATATGTCAGGACTGGTTTAAAAGTATTCCCATAATGGTTTTGTTTCCTTTTACAGCCATTTGTTCCATAGTAACCCAAAATTTAGAGTTTGGTAGCACCTGTTAAGATCAATAAATTTTATTGTAAGACATAAGCTTTATGAGTTTCAACTTATTTCATCAGATGCATGGAATGGCTTAACTGATGTAACATTTAAATAGGGATGGAGGGTGGTTATGTGAATGAAGCTTCTTGGGAGAACAGATTACAAGTACCTTATCAATTAATAATAGTAATGTGTTAAAAAATCATTCAGTTTGTTCAGACCTTCTGGGATAGCTTGAACATAAAAACTATAAGAGCACAATTGAGTACAAGACAGTTGAAGTTATCTACATCAGTAAGTTACCATGCCTTTTTTTTTGGTTGTTGTTAAATACTGTCATTGCTGAAGAGCCTTTATGTCATCAGGTAACATTTTGAAGAAATATGAAAACTTGGAATAATCTCTTTTTTAAATGCCCATATTATTTCTAGTTCGTGCTTCTGATAAGAGGATAGCCTGTGATGAAGAATTTTCTGATTCTGAAGACGAAGGAGAAGGTGGACGCAGAAATGTTACAGATCATAAGAAAGGAGCAAAAAAAGCACGCTTAGAAGAAGACAAGAAAGAGGCAGAAGACAAAAAAGCTGGTAAGTCAATGCTAAATTAAATACATTTTCTGTTAAGCTAAACATACCAAATTCACTGGTAATTCTGTAATTTGTTTTGCATATAATTATAGCTCCTTTCAAATGTTCAACTGAATGAATAAATAGCTAGACAATTTGTCTAGGCATTATCTGTTCTCTTAAACTACCAGACATTCAGACAAAGATGTAAAGAATTATGCTCATATTTGCAAAAATAAGAGTATGGTCTTAGATCCTATTTTACCTGCTTCCTGGAAGATTGTCTCATATGCAAAGCTGTACAAATTTTTTTAAAAAAAATACAAAATACCTATCTTTCAGGCCTCCAGTCATGTATGTAGCTCAGAAAAAAAACAACCCACCGGGTTACAACATTTAATTCTGTCTTACCTTTGAAACCCTCCTTTGTTCATCTGATTAAATGAAGTACACTTTTTATGATAATATCTAGCTAAAGCACACTTTATGACTTAAACCAAAGTAACTGCAAGTGCTGCCTTCCTGGGTTGAGAGGAGGGATCCAAAAGTGCATAGGTTTAGCTTAGGTCATAAAAAAATTGTAATACTGTTATAGTACATATTAAAGTCAGCTGTCATATTTTCTAGATTACCCCCAATGCATATACATTGATTGTGAAATTAATAGCTAATTTCAGAGGGGAAATTTCAGTTTTATGTGAGCTGCAATCTTATATTTATTTACCTGAGAGTCCTTTAAAACTGAATGAAGATTATTTCTTCATCATATAACTGATTATACTGCTTTTGCAAATTGCTGCTACTTTTTAATTCTAGATATTAAAGAAGAAGACAAATCTAAAGATAACAGTAATGAGAAAGTAGATACCAAAGGGTAAGTATGTTCCATCTGAAAAGTCTACATCTGCTTTTAAAATGTTATTGAAATGTTAATTATCTGCCCCTTACTTCCCCTTATAAATTACAATAATCCTGTGTTGGTAACAATTGCATTTGTTTATAGTGTATGCTTGAATGGGTGAGGCCAGTCCATTCCCATTTGGAGACAATTTCCACAATTTTCTGAATGTGAAATAAATTCCTTAAACATAAATCAAGCTTAAAGCGCTCACTTTGGCCCATCAAAATTCTCCAGAATCAAAAAATGAGTCTAGGTTTCAGCAAAAACCATTTGTGGGGCTTTTGAGAGTACAGAAAGGATGTGCCTGCATTCAGATTCCAGACTGCATTTTTTGCATAATAAATGAACACAGTATTAACATGTGACCTACACTAATAACACTTCTTTCTTTCTGCCCCCCCAGCACAAAATCAGAACAGCTAAGCAATCCTTGAACATAAAGCCTTACAGTATGTCAATCAAAGGACCCAATACCATACTGAAAAAAAAAAACTAAGAGAAGCTTTTCGTACTGGAAGAGACTTTTTATTTTCATTTAGTAGAATTTGGCATGGAGCATATTTATTTTCAAACAACTGTGTTTTGATTTTTGGCAACTTGTATTGTGAATTCCCCAATTATGATACAAAATTTGTTCCTTCCACCAGGCTTTATGTAATACTATTTAAAATGGATGTGAGTTAAGATGTAGTTAAACGTCTAAACTGATCTATTAAAATTTCCCTTTTCCCGGATTGATTTTATCCCCCTTTTTGTAATTATATCTTTATTAAAAAACAAACAAACTGTACTTGGCTGATTTGTTTATTATTACGTAGTATATACAAATGTATGTATTACACTATTGTTATGAAAAAGCTTGGTTAACCTTGAAATTGAGTTTGGTGAAAAATATTTTGGTTAATGCCCCGGCTTTAAAATAATTGTATGCTTTTTTTATCTATCTTCTAGTAGGAAAGTTTTGTTTTTGTTTTCTAGTTCCCCAAATCAATGCAGTCTTTGATTATGTGGAAGCGTACACCATACAGCTGCAAACCAGAATTTTTCTTTCTGCTGACAATCATAGCCTACTTTTGGGGGAGGAGGGAATGGCAGATCAGGTGAGCATTCCAGATGTAACATCTAAACATCACCTATGCCATGGTCCTTTTACAAACCAGAAATAGCATCTTTATAAATAGGATTTTTTAAGGCATAATCAAAATAAATGGCATTTTATTCCTGCACAAAAACAATAATTACAAAAAGGGATTTTATTCCCCTTTTGTAATTGTATCTTTATTTTTTTTTTAAAAAAAAGTTGATAAAATCAATGAAATCCATTGTTTTGGTTCCCCCTCTTCCAATTCCAGCAAAACATGAGCCAAAATAGTTACTTTAACAACTTGTTTAACTAAAGTTATTTATTTGTTTATTTAAAAATGATTTCAGTAAGGAGAAGGGAGATAATGAATCCTGACTTTTAACACATCAGTGGGAGAATAGATTGTTATTTCTGAATGTCTCTTATATTCAAAAATGTATCATTCACACATTATAGGACATTTGCTTCATGACCTCAGCAACAGCATCTTTGCAGTATCCATTTTGATGTCACAAATGCCAGCAAATTAATTTAAAATTAAGATAAATGCAATTTCCTCATCCAGACTATTTCAGATGCAGCACACATGTACTTATTTGGGGGAATCCAGGTGGAACATCAGTTTCTTGCATCTAAATGGATTAAATCATTAAATCAAGGCTTCATTTTGTTACCGATAGAAAAGAAATAGATAGAAAGATGATGCAGAGAAGTGTTTATTTCAACTCTCGTGTCCTCCAAAGCAATATTGGGAGATCATGTTGAAGAGGCACAGTTATAATACAATTTGCCTCAAAAGCAGTTCTCATTGCCTTAATAGCTTCTTAAAGCACTTCCAATAGCTTGAACTTCTATTTATTGCTGTCATTCATTTCTAAAGCCAATCTATCTTAATAGCTTGGCAATTCTCAAAATCTACTTTCCAACAAGTTTGGATGGCACTGGGTCAGAAATATATTCCTTGCCTTTTAACAAGTGATTTACATAAAGCAAATGAAGATTTAAATGTATTCATAATTTACTATTAAGCTTTGTAACCAATCATTTTCCAGCAACCAGCCTTCAAAATTTCACCAAACTATTCTAGCAACATATAAATCAATGCAGATGCCAATTGTATCCACATTTAGTATTAAAAAAATAGGGATTATGTATCTTTCTTTGGCCAACTTCAATCTTTTTATGGCAGTTTCTTCCTGAAGACAAGCATTTGTGGTTAGCCATATTAATACACAATTTGTACAGGATTTCATAAGCAGATGTCAAGTATTCTAAGATATTTATTTTTAAAATATAATGAATATTGAAGCATTTCCTATAACTTGCATGGCAAGAGTTTTATATTTGAACAGTTCCGAAGACTAGTGTAGTTGTTGATGTTAAGTATGCCCCTAATATTTTGTAATATTTATTTTTTTGTTTATAGGAAATTCTTTGTATCAGTTTGCCCATCCTCATTGGCACATACTCCAGCACAGATGGTACAAAAATATAAAGTGGCCAACATTAACATTTGGCTGTTCACCATCTTCAGGAGTTTTTGGCTACAGTGCTTGATATTCCGGGTTGTAAATAATGCATTAACACTGAGAATATATCAGGTGGATGCCAAGAACAGGACATCTGACTTGGCAATGAGCAGACAGAAATGAGTGTTGCCAAATAGCTTTCATTGATGTTCAATGCCAATATTTTCCTCCTGGTTATATTGCCAGGACTAGCACACATGAGCTAGGCTGCAGGCAAATGTTCATTTATCCTGTCAGCCTCTAACCAAATAGCATCAAACTCCAAGCAAACCCGAGCAATTTTATCTTCAAAAAAACCTATGATAGTATTCTTCAGACAGTTCTTCCATCTCTTTACCCAGGAGAGTATGGATATAGAGAAGTTCTGTAATGTTCTACATTTAGGCAAGAAAAAACATGCACAGGTATAGTACTATGGTGGTACCTGCCTCAATAGCAGTAACTGAGAAGGATCTTGGAGTCCTAATGGACAATCACTTTAAAATTGAGCCACCAGTGTGCTGCAGCTGCCAAAAAGGTCAATGCAATGCTAGGCTGCATTAACAGATTGAATCAAGATCATGTGAAGCATAAGTACCACTTTATAATACTTTGGTAAGAACACCTCCCCCCCCTTAGAATATTGCATCCAGTTTTGGTTGCCACAATGTAAAAAAGCTGTTGAGACTTTGGAAATTAGTGTGCAGAGAAGAGAAACAAAGATTATTAGGGGACTGGAGGCTAAAACAACAGTTGCTGGAATTGTGTATGACTAGTTTAATGAAAAGAGAGACTAGGGGTGACATGATAGCAATATCTAAAGGGTTGCCACAAAGAAGAGGGGATCAACCTATTCTCCATAGCACCTGAAGTCAGGACAAGAAGCAAATGGATGGAAACTAATGCAGAGAAGTAACCTACGGTAGAACTAAGGAAAAAATTCCTGACAGAACAATTAATCAGTGGAACAACTTGCCTCCAGAAGTTGTGAATGTTTCAACACTGGAGGTTTTTAAGAACAGATCATAAAAAGTATTTCTCTGAAATGGTATAGGGCTTCCTGCCTGAGAAGAGGGTTGGTTAGAAGATCTCCAAGGTCCCTTTCAACTCTGTTATTCTGTTATAAGTATAGAGATAGCTTTGAAGCATATATATATTGCTCTTGGAAGCACGAAGCCTGAAGATGACGAATGAGACTTCGTCGAAACGTCGCCAAGACACCTCCAATTTTACACGGGAGAAAACCTGAATAACCAAAGACCTACATACTAACACCTGCGAAAACCTCAGAAAACCAATATATATATATAAAATAAATATATATAACAAATAAATATAAATATATAACATATACCATGAGGTAAACACCAGCTTAGCCATGAAAAGAAGCAGTGTGTGAGGAGGAAAATGCCTACCTTGATTCTGAGAGGCTCAGGTTTCAATAAGTGTAGAGAAATAGATGTTTCGCTATCATCACCAAGGAATGCTGTCAAATATGATTATACAATTTTGTTTTCATTGCATTTTGGCTTAGTTTTTTTTGCTACCATTGATTGCTCTAGGTATCTTTTGACTCATTTCCTACAACTACTCAGAAAAACCAGCAACTTCCAGATTTGAGGTCCCAAAGACGCCACTTGGGGAAAATCTTGTCTAACCTAATTACCTTTAGAATTTAGTACCTTGTTCAAATTCAGTCTCCAGATATCAACCAATAGTTTTAATTCAATTAATATAACATTTATTGTTACAGAAGTTATACTAGCAGAAACAGAGGGGCTTTAATGTATGATGCAGAATAATTTGTGGATCCAGTGGACTCATCTTTTGTTCCTTTAAATGTAAAGGGAAATGAAGCTAATATTTATACAAGGAAAATGTATACAATTATAGAATAAATTATAATTATTTTTAAAGTTCTTCAGTAGTTTCAATGTTAGATTTCAAAAACAACTAAGGAAATATTTTCAGATTGATGGCTATTTGTAGAAAAGTTTCATTAATTTCAGAATGCAGTTGCGAATACAAGTCAGTTTCACTGAATTCTTTCATTAATTCAGTATTTCACTAACTCTTCCAATTGGTCTGAAGCCTTCAGATAGCTAGATTTTGTGCCCCTGTTGCTGTTTTATTTCTCTTTTCCCACCAACCAACTCTGAAGAAATTCAATGGTATGTCTCATTCAGAATTAATTGTTCCTTGGCTCTCTGTACAGCCATTCTTTTATATACATCAAAAGGATAATCACTGCTTGTTTGCTGTTATCTAGTATATTTGCTCAATTAAATTTAAGGTTTTGTCCAATTGTATTCAAGGATATATGCACAATACTATACAGCTGGCATGATATGCCTAAAGCAGTCTTTCTTTCATTCACTATAAACCTCAAACAACCCCATTTTGGCTTGTATATTGTGTAGACAAAGCTTGATTGATTAATGTTTGGTGCGTTAAACTCAGAGAAAATAGGTTAACTATGATAACTGTATGAGACAATTGTGGATACAGAGGTGTCATGAAGGCTATACCTTACATAGAATATAAATGAAAATGTTCCTTGTATACTACCAATAATCATATTCTGTAAATGTTATGTAACACTGAAATTTCCCCAATCACTTTCCCTTAATTTTTTTTCTCCTCTTCCTAGTTTCTAGGCTTTTTACAAATTACCTACTGGTACCTATTAAGCTTTTCAAAAAGCCAAGTGGCTGTATACAAGAGAAGAAACGTAGCTATTTCTTTCCCATTGCAACTCTTCTGAAATCTTACGACTTTTAAAAGCTCATGTTGCATGGAGGATTTTTGATAGTTTATAACATGAATTCATTTATTATCTGGAGGAATGAAACCTTGTTTTTATTATTTTGTTGCTACTCAAACAGTGTATCAACATCATACTGTAGTCGTCAACGTACAACCACAACTGATCAAAAAAATTCTGCTATTAAGTGAGACATTTGTTCAGTGATCTTTTTTGCCTCAGTTGTTAATAATGTGAATCATTGCAGTTGTTAAGTTAATAATATGGTTGTTAAGCGAATCTGACTTCTCCATTGACATCGCTTGTCACAAAAGGTGATCAAAAGAGGTTGGGATACTGCAACCAACATAAAAGCGAACCAGTTGCCAAGCATCTGAATTTTGATCACATGATCATGGAGATGTTGCAAACGTCACAACTGAAAAATGTTCACA